AGTTTCTAGAAAAAAATTCTGAATAAGTTGCGCCACTTATCCATCGTCTCTCGAAGTGAGCAACTGCTCTGAAAAATATGCCACTGACCTTAAGAACCCTAGTTCGACTAATGGACCTATTAGCAAAGTTGCGGGTTAACGGATGGGTGGCTTTCGATTTGAAATATTGAGATTATGCCAGTAGTTGAAGGTAAAAGCAAAATAAACCAAGCCCCCACACAAATTGGAATAAGGTCAATTTAACCTGCTAAGGACATTAAACAGACACTGTTTGGGTGGTAGTACAAGCCACCGATAAAACATTCCTGAGCCAATCTAATACAATCGCAGCCAATTCAATGTACAATTATGTGTAATTGGACGAGACCTCGCTTAACTTAGAAACGATTCAGTGAAATAATAAAAGACAAGCTCCCAATTAGTCAGCTGTATTGGTGATACCTGCTCTGTACCAATGTCTGGTGTTAAAATGTTTGGCAGGATAAAGAGCATATCGTGAGAGAGGGAGCATGCCCGATGACTCATGGACGCGGCCCGTGAGGGCAAGGTGTAGGGACAAAATGAGTCACGTGAGAAGGCCACTTGGACGAGAAATCTCATCGTACTGACACGGGCGGATGCGGAGCCGACGACAGCCAGCGCGTCGGATTAGAATCAAAGTGAAGGTTTGGGTTTGATAGGTTCTTAGACCAATTACGGTTTTCCACAGCCCATAGAAGTTCATTGAGACTTATTTTGAGAGCTGAGAAAGAGGAAGAACTGGTGCAGAAACAGTAAAAGGGCAGGGTGTAAAAGCCACGGTTCACTAACAGCATTGAAAGAATCTAGTCTTTGCGGAGCTTTCAGAAAAGGTTTTTGTATTATTACTGATTTTGGGTTGTTACAAGGCGCTACGGTGAAGGAGAATTATTCTCAGACAACCAGTTATCTAAAGCATCTAGCAAATGAAGTAAACTCTCCATTCATGTTGGCTCCTTTTGCTTCTCGTTCGATACTTATGCCCAAACATTACGAACAAAATTTAAAATCAAGAGTCAAAACAAGACCATTGTTTTAATTGATTGACAGCGCAAAGACAAAAACTTACAAGTATGAAACCAGGAAGGCCTGAAGAACCAATGGTGGCCTTCGCTCCTCGTATTGGACAGACTTAAGGTAAATGCAAAATAGAGACATGTTTCCCGGTTATGAGACTGGGAAGAGTTTGTAGCTTTGTAAGGACTTTTGAATGCGTTTAAGAAGCAGTAAGTTTGCCGTTACATCTAAACATTGAATGGAGAGACCGGACAGGAGAGCCTCGAGATTGAATTAGATACAAAAGTCAATAAAATACGGTTTAAATACAATCCCAGTATCAAATAATCACGTTAGACTGAAAAGTGCCTTCAACAAAAAGGTAAACCCCTTACTTAAATAAACCAAAAGTTGTAGAAGCATCACTAACCCATCTCAAAACCAAAAGACATTTTTCGTAATATTTGGTTCACGTAAAATGTGACTTCTGTGATCCACTAATTGTCCAATCGCTAATTCTCAGAAAAGGGCAAAATCTATTGCGCACTTCATCGTCATTTTAATCAAGAAATGACCAATCGAAGAAACTAAACTTGTGAACAAGCAGCTGAGGAAAGTCAACACGATTTTTCCACTACCTGCATTGGATATGACTATTTGTGACATATATCGAAACGATGCAGCATGAATTCAAGTACGGTCTACCTAAGAGGCAGTGCTAAAAGCCGTCGAAAAGGTTATGGCGCCATTACTGTTAGCCTATAAAGATTGTCCCGTCAGTTGTTCAAGAGAGGTTAATGAATAGAATCGGCACGGAGGAGTATTTTAGCGGTTCAAAATTCAGTGGACCCGTATGCCATTTTGCATACACTTGAGAATACAGCAGTGGAGTAGTGTTTAAAAAACCAAATATTTGGAAACAAAAACTTAAGAGGCCTAAGAAATAAGTGGTTTTGAGATCGATACGCTATCAGTTCATTTCAAAAAACAAAGGAATGGAAATGGTACAAGCATCTTACTGGCAAATCGCCTCAGACCAATCCAACCAATCAAGTCTACCGCCAATCAAGAAGAGTTCCTGACTTACCCTGTTGTCTGTTTTTTAGATGATTTACTGAACCACACGATGTAACAGCGGAAAAAGAGCTGGGCGAATGCGGCTTATTTGATAATTCAACAAAGTGCTCAAATCTGCACAAAATTTAACCTTATTAAAGTAATTTTAATCGAAATGAGGATTGAAGTACCTAGATTGGACACATTGAAGCAGGTTTATCTAAGTTTGAGAAGACAAAACTCATCTACCGTGCACCCAGCACACTAGCAGTTTGCTATTGTGGATACTGTGGACCGCTAGCAAAACAAGGAGTCATTCATTAACATTTTAGATACTCGGTTCGGAAGTTGGAGAAGGTTACTCGACAAGACGTTAAAACTGTACCCCTCATTCATGAGGGTGGATAGAAGCTAACTAAGGAAGGCAAGTACACCAGTACTTTAAGGAGCATTAAGGAAATAGAGGGAATTGACACCAAGTCGAAGTTAACGAACAGCATAACGTCGAAAAGCTAAATCAGTGAATAAGCTTGACCCAAAATTTCTAAATTTAACATCAGCACTATTTATGAGTAGATTAGTTACTCTAGTGAGGTGAAGAGAGACTATCAAACGTTCCTCCATCACAATCGCCTAAACCAGGTGATTCCTGCACATCCACATCTCTGTGTAATAAAAAACAAGAGCTTTCAGTAATGAAAGCTTGGGAAAAACAGATGCGGTCGGACCAGACAAATCATTAAGTCGAAACGAAAGCAATAAAATTAAAGCCGTCATATCATCAAGAAAAAAAAATACAAGTTTTGACTTTCAAATGGTAAGTGGAATGAATAATTTGAAAAGAAGGAAAAATTTACATTATATTTGTGTCTATAAAAATAAACGCAAAAAATTGGGATTGGCAATGATGAAGGCAGTTACATTCAATTGCGTCTCGCTGATTAAACAAATAAACTTCAAAAAAACTGCGATAATCGGTACCCTCACTTGTTTCAGCTTTCAGTCGTGTAAAGAACACTCAATTCGTGAGGTATGACAATATGGCAGAAATGTTTGTAGCTTTAGTGAATATTTATAAGGCAATAACGCTCAGAGGCACTTCAGTTTTGCCATGACTTTACAATACCATAGTAATTGTATAGTTAAAGAGCAGAAAAACAAACTTCAGCAGCACATTATTGAAGTGATATGTAAAATTACGCGTTCAAATTTCTTTTTTATATCAATCGGACTTCATTAAAACCTTTTGCAGCATCTTCACAATTACTTACGCG